GGAGAGATGTTTTGCATTCTAAGCCTGGAAGGAAAAAATGATACTCAATGGAAGGTTTCAGCTGAGTTTCTTCTTTTTTGTCTGGGCATTTGCTATGCATGTGACTATTTAATGATGACAAAACATGCAAGTTTAGGATTAGGATGAACTATCCTCATCTTTCTCTTTACTCAAATTCAGGTCTTACAGCTCCTTGTACCTTAGCTATCAATTTATCACAAACTTTCACTTGCTGCCAATGCCAATGATGGGTAAAAAGTAAACCTGTAAATAACCATCTCACTTCAGTTGATTCTCAGAATTCTTCATGTTGTCCCAAAGTCATATCATATATCTTGAAACTGGCAAAAGCCCAATTGCTGAAAACCAAGTATACAGCGAATTCCAAATCTTGGCATAAGAAAACTGGATCCCCTTGGAAAAGTGGGTCAGATGGTTGTTTCTTCTACTCCTGTACTAGATTAACTCTTCTTTGTTTTGTGATAGAAAACATGATTAAACCCAAAACATAAAGAAGCTTAATGAAAAAAAGAGATCATGCCAATTACATGATTTCACATTCCCCTAAACTATATTTTGGGTAAATTAATAAATGAGTAAACTATCATAGTAAGTTACTTCTCATTTATCTGGGCCTGAATTACTTGTCATTGTACAAAAGCTTTCCTCACAGTAAACCAAGTCTCCCATAGGTCAGGGTAAATTAGAAAAGGAAATGTCTTTGTTAAAAGAACAATAAGCAGCCAGTGAATTTTCATGAATGGACGTGAGAAATAGTAGCCATAACAGTGCCCGCAAATGATGTGGTTTATCTGAGTGCCGGTTTCTGAGACTGTGCTCTAAATGCAAACATCAGTAGTTTTTTAGATGATGGATGTCTTTGACTATGACATCCAGGAAAACATAGTGAATGGTGGATGTTTGGCACACATGCACCATCTTGTCTGGAATTTCAAGGACTTCAAGATTTCCTTTCATTTTTTTCATAGACTCAAGGGGTCCCTGAACCCCAATTTAAGGAAGGTCTATCGTTCCAGATAATTAAAATTTGACTGTTAGTCACTTTCTTTGCTCACAAGGTGGAAAGTGTTTGTGATAAGTCAAGGAAGAGCTCTGCTTCCATTGACACGCTTCTCCTTTTAGGGAACTCAGTTGCATCAACTATTTCAAATAACTGTCTATATTGTGAAAAAACCTCTTCGGTGAGAAGGTATGTGTATCTGTAGGTAGGATGTTTAACCCATGTAATGTTTTACCTCTCTTAACCAGCTCTGACAAAAATGGGAATAATGACCAAGCCACAGATGGTAAGGGACTTTCCTCTTCTGTGTCTGTGCATTTACTGAGTTCCATTTAGCCATTTCTCTTGTAGAATACCAATAGTCTCCTTTGAATTTCAATACACTTTTTGTTTCTGGGACTAATGATATAAGCATAAACGATACTTGAAAAAATGGAAAGAAATTAAGCACAAGTTAAAAAAATACTTCTTAGAGGGAGGATAACTAGAGTATCATCCCAGAACCAGAAAGTAATGTACAAATGTATGAATTAATGTTTTTCTAGAAATGGTGATCTTAATTTACATAAATAGTATCTGTCAAAGTTAATGACTATTCTAGTATAAACAAAACTCAGAGTTTAGGGATTGGCTCTCAGTTAATATTTCCTCTTGTTATAAAATACTAAATAATAAAGAAATAAAGAAGAAACCAGTATCTGGATATTTAAAATTAAGTCAATAGGGTTAAAAAACATACATTATCCAGAAAGTAATAAACTGAAAATGGTTGACTGTTTGAACTGGGTGTTTAGCTCTAGAAATATAGTAGGTTCAAGTTTCTTAACTCTTCGCGTCTCAGATTTATCTTAAAGAATATATCTAAACTTAAATCAGCTGGCTGCTTGAGATACAAATTTCTTCTCTGCCCATAGAAAATCTAAGGAATGAATTCTAAATTAAATAAGCAAAGATTTGAGCACCAGTATAAAGGGTAGGGCACTCATAGGCAGCAAGTAGAGGTTACATTTAAAGAACCAGATGAACTCTTGAATCCATAATGTGTTGCTCGGAGCCTGAGCTATGATGGACAAAAGCAGGCAATACCAAACATCACACATGTCCAAGTCCAGGGGACCATTCTCTCCCTCAGCTTGGCTAAATGTTTACACTTTCAACTGTGTTTTGAAAACTAGAATATGCTTATCCCCAACAGCCCCCACAGGAAAAAAAAATAAAGAGAAGGATGAAACCTAAGCACTAGGGAAAATACATTTTTTTCTCTTTTTATTGTGAATTCTAACATAAATTTTGTTAAACAGAGAGCATGTGAACACACGACAGTTTCCTTCATTTGTTCTCACATGGAGCTGATAGAGGGATACTTGGGAGGAATATTTCTAAAGCCATAGATAGCTTCTCCATTTATTTCAGTTTTAAAAATATGACAAAGCATTAGAGGAAAAATATTTCTTAAGTTGTGAGATATCAAATATTACCCATCAATCCCTGAATCATGCTATTCAAAGTGCTTAAATCTACACTAAAAATAGAAACAAAAGAAAAGAACTCCCAAGGCAGCTAAAGTAACACCTATGGATGCCTAAAATATGACTGTGGTGTGATTACTTCCTCTACATGTATTCCACACTTCCATCGTGCACTTAAAAAAGAAAAAGAAAAAGAAATAAACTAGACCCACTGCCATGTTTACAGTTTTCTGAGCCCTGGGGGAGTTGAGAATCCAGTCCCATGAGATTCGCCCCCACCAGTCTCTGACAGGTGTCCATTGTACAAAGTAAACAATGGCTTTCTTGGATTCTGAAAATAACCCGATGTGCAAAGCTGACCTTAAAAAGTTTATGCGTCCTTGCAGGTTCAGTTTTGGTTTGTGAAAATGTGACACAGGTCCAAAGGGAGCAAGGGAATAAAGAACAGATTCTAGAGAAAGACCCAGGTGAGTTGTCAGGGAAATACACTTTTTTCCTAAGCAAAGAAAAATCAATGCACATCCCAAGGCTCCTTTACCTTGTCGCACAAATACGGAAAACTTTGTGTTGTTACAAAATTCTGATACGGATCTCTTGGACATTTGCAATTCAATTTTACCCTCCCTGAAGAATTCTGTTGAAGTTCATACTTTTTGTAGCCAACTCACACCTTAGAATTGTGACCAAAACTGTAGACTTGTTTCGTTATTATATGGTGGTAGGAACAAACCAAACATACTATCGTCACTACACGAGCCACAGACGATGACTGGAATAAATGTTCCTACGAAGAGTCACTAAAGTAATGTAAAAGTTGTATTATCAGTGTTTTCATCACATTGATTGTTTTTAACTAAAAGCTAATTAGGTACTATTTCCCTTTAACAGTTCTGCCCTCTGCAAGTTCCTTTATGACTGATTTTGCATTGTCTTTAACATAAATATATATTAGCTGCTTATGTCACTGATTTCAAACAAAGCTACATGGTAGAGAGGAATTTTCTGGGGGAGCATCAGCTTTCTGTTTCTGAAAGACAGAATTATACAGTGAAAATAAAACTAAGTTTTTATACAGTAAAATTATTTTAAAGACATTATTACCTAATTTATAAAAGCATTTTGTGTAAAAATGTGTATTTTGAAAATACTGACTTCTGTAGGTATTCATATGTTCGACCTCCTGAGTTCTTACTGAAACACTGATATTAATAAGTGTTGTTTATGTTCACAAACAGAAACCAAACACTGGATTCTAAATGTAGCATTGAAAAGTAAGTACAGTGAATTAACACTTAGTACAAGGGGACCCCATAATAAGTTTCATGGATTCGTTCTGACTCTTTAGAAAATAACACTTTGTATAATACAAGGTGACAAAACATTTGATGACACATCCTGTCCTTCCCTTTGGTTTGGAAGTCTTCAGTGTAAATTTCATTTTGACTTGTGTTGATTCACCCTTTCGAGTTAACTTGCCTGGCATTTGCACATAATCTCATTTGCAGAAAAAATATAGAGGGAAAAGAGGAAGTAGAATATTAAACAAAAACAGCCACAAACACATTCATGCCTTTCCAGGAAGTGATCAAATATAGGGCTTAATTTTTTTTGTGTTTTTTTGGGGTTTTTTTGTGTTTTTTTTGTTTCTTTTGTTTTGTTGTGTGTTTTTCTATATATATATATATATATATATTTATAGAAGGGTACAACAACTCATTTAAAAAATGGAAACAACACTCTTTCCCCCATTTTCATGCCCTTGATCTTCTCTTCTTAGCACACTGTAGCGGTCACTGTCAAGTGACTAGCACACTTTTGGGTCTGGAGTGTATTCTGACGAAAAGTGAATTAAATGTTAAGACAGTTAGACCCACCCCCACCCCTCCTCAGAGTTTTTACACATCATGCCGCCATTAGAAGGGTAGAGGTGAAGAATGAGGTGGAACAAGGCAGAGATTCAGGGCTCTGATTGGCGGGGCCCTTCTATGAACAAGTGTTCTCATTTCTTTCCCCTCAAATGGCAATGCTGGCATTCGTCGCACTGCTCTCTGAAGGCCCACGTGGCCCCGCTGATCCCAGGTAGAACCCAAGAGAGGATCCGGTGCTCCTTGTCCCATCAGATGGATTTGTCCAAGCACCCCAAGGAAATGTTAAAAGCAAAACAAAATCAAGGAAAGGAAACGAAACCCATTCTGAAACTAAACTAATGAAGCAAAGAAGGGTTCTCTATCTATACATAAGTCTCTTCTTTAAAAAATGTAAATTTACAAATTCCAATGACATATAAAACAAAGTCAAAAATGTAATGGGTCAGAGACATGGTAAAACAGGAAAACACTGATGCTATAAAGAAACTGCAAAAAACATATGTACAAGACCCTGTTTTTCCTCGTGTTCTAGAGATTGTAATGCATGTTTTTAACAGCAGCAGTCGAGGATTTAGTTCCAGGCACTGGACTGCAGACTCTACTCAAGCTCCCAGGGACGACGGGATGTCCTTTGCTTTTCTGTCACCAAATCACACTGGATATACTGGTCTCCCTTGGCAACAGCGGCAGGATGGCACTGTTTGTGTGAGCCTCATCTGGATTCTGCTCCCTGCTTGATTTTGTCTGTGGCCGCTGCCCATTGATGAGTGTCATAGGGATGTTACAATAGGTATGCTGATTTCCTATGGAGGTAAGAGGCAGGGTGCCGGTAGGAGGTACGTCATACTCGTAGCTTCGGTAGTAGTGTTTCTGACGCATTTGTGAATGGTACGTGTTGTGAAAGGTGGAACGGAGATCTGGATGAGCCGTGGCTAGAGCTGTGGAGGTGGCCGCAGCCATGGAAATGGCCGAGACAGTCTGCAGCTCCCCGAAAGGCCCCTGCTCACTAACATCTAAAGCCTGCTCGTGCGTAATGGGTTCTATCCTCTTAAAAGGCATTTCATATTGTAAACGTTTCCAGAACTTAGAGTTCAACTTGTTGCATTTTGGTCCATGCCATTTAATAACTGTCAGGAGCTTGATGGTGTGCTTGAGGGCCTCCACCTCCTGGTAGTTCATAACTCCACGTAGCTCACTGCATTCAATCAGAATCACTTTAATTTCCCCAGTCACAAGCATGTTTCGGAGTCTGGTCTCCAGCTCAAAGATGCTCCAGCCCCTTCTGACTACGTAATTTGGGGTCATGACAATAATCAGGCGCTTGCTTTGATCTACACACCTTGCTACATCTTCAATGTAGGCTACAAAAGAGAAAAAAGGTTTATCAGAATGAGTAAATCTAGCACATGGTCCAGAAAGCCCTAGAAGATTCTTTTTCACACATTAAATGAGAATTGGGGTTTGCTGAGAAGATGAAAAAGGCCAATGATCACTCTGAATAGAGCGCGAGCTTTGCTTCTTTTAATGTTAGAAATATTTTTCCAAGTACAAATCTCTCATTTGGTTTCTTTCAGTGTTAGGGCTCATCAAGTGAGATGCTATCTAAAATAATGGAAATAGCACTCCTCAGACATGTCAAAAATTAAGTTTTATATCAACACATAATGACATTTCTTTCTTGAGAATCTGACACATACAATTTCTGAAGTAAAGAACCAGAAGGTAACACTATGTGTAGAAATGATGACTACACAGATAGACCCAGGAAGATGCATACTCTCAGATGAAAACATTAACTTACTTCCAGTTGGGATCAAATCTCTGTCTGGTATAAACAACTTGTATCCATAGTGCTTTTCAAGCATATCAGGTAGGATTTCAAGAGCAAAGCGTTCTTCTTCCCCAGTCTCTTGATTCCATTGGTCAGGATCCACTTTGGTATATGACAAGTATGCATCATAGTCTTTATTGTCTGTCAAAAACATTACAGAGTAAAGCTGAAGTCACTACTTTACAAAGAAACTACCAGGGCATGAAAACATTCACCCCTTTTCACAAACATCTCCAAATGTCCCATTTCTGGGAGACCAAAAAAAGAAGCCTTTGTTAGTTTTCAATAATTACTTCATAGTGCCAAATATTCTGGAACTGGTTTGGAGCTGTAAGGGGGCACATTTTCATTTTGTTGTTGTTGTGAAGGTGGCAGGAGAAGAATCAGTAAAGAGGATACTATGTTAACTTCCACCATTTTTGATGCATAGATCATAGAGAATCTTGACTGCTTATAAAAAGCCACATATTTGGCCCTGGCTGGTGTGGCTCAGTGGATTGAGCACAGGCCTGTGAACCAAGGGATCGCAGTTTGATTCCCAGTCAGAGCACATGCCTGGGTTGCAGGCCAGGTCCCAGCAGGGGATGCACAAGAGGCAACCACACATTGATGTTTCTCTCCCTCTCTTTCTCCTTCCCTTCCCCTCTTTCTAAAATTAAAAAAAAAATTAATAAATAAAATCTTTAAAAAAGCCACATATTTGGAAAGTGGGTGCTTACTCTAAATAATGGTGCACTTAATTAATTAATCCTGCCTTTAGGCATTTTATTCTGTTTAAAAAAAAGAGAGAAACGTTCACCTTGCTGGACAGTGGGATATTGAATTTTTTACTAGAAGTCGGTTTTTGGATTTTGAGACCGAAGGTATGTTACACTGAATTATTACAGAAGAAGCATATTGCTTTACTGGTCTCCAATTCCTTTACATGTAAAATACAGTCAAATTATTTCTCACCATGTTAATTGGTTTGAACATAAGAATCAAAAATTACAATATAAGTGAATAAAACTTGGTTCTGAAATCTGTTTCTTTCCTCATTCTTCCCCCCTTTTAACATAAAACACTTCAAATATTTGATGACCACTCTCATGTACTATCTTTATCCTACATTTTTAAGAAAAACATCCCAGATTTCTCATTTATTGTTTGTAAGAATAAGAAGTCACTTATCTTCTGGATAGTCTCTCATTCATCAATTTCTTTTTGAGAATGTGACATCAGAATTCATAATTCACCTTAGTTTTAATTACTGTCTTTATGCTGAGGGAGGGTTGATTCCTTAAGCCAGACTGTAAATTGTAGAATGATGTCATGCATATATTATTTTCTTTCTTGGAGGTTGTCTCCTCTGGTTTGCCCCACAGTTCTATAAAGTATTGAAGTTTGCCCAAGTCTGGGATGTGGAATGACCAGAACCTCACTCTTTCCCTTTGTCTTTTCTAGGCTTAAAAATATTTGAAAACCAGACCATTATGAACACCAATAAAAACAGAGCACTTATGACTCAGAAGACATGTAGACAACTGGTCCATCAATACTGGTTAGTCCCACCTGGATATCGCTTTTGCTTACATGATATTTTCTGTCAGTTTCTGGTTCCCCCTCCTCTTCCACAAATGCCTCTCTTCCAACCCATAAAATGCCATAATTTCTCAAGATGTTTTCTATAGCCTGCTTCATTTTTCTCTCAACCCACTTTTCTTTAAAAATCTCCTTTCTTCCCATAACATCAACAATCACGTCTGTGTAGCTGTCTCCCTAACAGATGTCCAATCCTGTTTTCTTTCTTATGAGCTACCAACAGTCCTCTGCTTCTACCTGTAACTCAGACTCCTTAATCTGCATGTTCAGCATGTAGCTTACATTCAACATACCCACAAAATAACAAGCTTCGCATCTCAAAGCTCCATTCTTCATCTTTTATTTTACTTTAATTTTAATAACATAATAATCTTAGTGCTTTAGTCTCCAAATTTCAGATGCATGTTTCACTTGTCCCTTTGCATTTACCAATAATCTCATAGTCCTTCCTAGGTCAGGCCATTTCTCAGTTGTTATAATTATTTTTGGTGGATCTCCCTTCTCTGTTTCCTTCTCCTTCTGACCGATTTGATTCCACATAGAGTTACCCAATTTATGTTTCCAAACCTCACCACTGATTATGTTTATGGTAGCTTGAAAAATATTTATGCCTATCCATTGTCAAAAACCAGCAGCTAAATATACAGTTTGTTTCCTCTGAATTTGAGTCTGATATCTACATTGGAGGAGATCTCTTTTCCCATACATACAGTATTGTCTTATACCATTACCTTCTTTCTTTGACCACAAGATTCTTGACTCCGATATGTGACTAGAGCTTAGTAGATGCTCAAATATATGTATTGATTAAATGAATGAATGGCCATTCATTTGGGTATCACATGACTTATATGTTATAGCCAGTGCACAGATTTTCTCAAGGCCTGGGCCATTTCCTAGGAGAGAAGGCTTTGGTGGTATATACTCCATCATGTCTAGATGGATTCTGCAAGGAATTGTTAGTAGCTATGAGGGTGGAGTTTAGTGAGGCTCATTTAGAATCGTCTTGAATTGTATTTTCTCACTGTGACTCAAGGGAAGGTCCCAGAGTCCCTGTAAACTCTTCTGGAAAAATGGCTTTCAGAGTTGAGCACTAATGATTTGGAGGGCTTGTTCAAATACAGATTTCTGGGCCCCACCTCCTGAGTTTTTCACTCAGAAGGTCTAAAATAGGTCCTGAGAATTTACATTTATAGAAAAATCTCAGGTAATGCTGCAGCAGATCCAAGGACCATACTTTGAGGAACTCTTTCTAGGTTAGGATATAGGCATCTAGAAATCTCAAAGACATCAAACAACTGCAGTCAGCAGCCAGGTAATTGACCAGAGCACCACAAAACCTAAACAGTGTAGTTTCAGCTCCATGATGATTGGTCTTTACATGACAGGGCATGTGCTCTCAATAAAATAACTGAAATCCACACTTCCATCCAAAAGGGGATAGATTATTGTCTAGAGGAATATACAAGTAACTATAGCAAGCTTAAGTGAACCTCAGGAATTGGTGCTATGTCCTCAGTCAGTTTTCTATGTCTTTATGTCATGTGGATGGAATAACTCTCAGATAATAAGAAATTGCATGCAGATTATCCTGGGAGAAAAAGTGGCTAAACAGACCCTTGTGAGCAGCTGCATCAGCATCCTCAAATCAATGACACACTTGATTGATATCTAATTCCTCTTCCCACAGTTTACATCAGTGCAATAATGGACTAGACATTTATTTACCACTGGAAGCAAGCCCTGGATTTGAAAGTTATCAGACTGCAAACACTGTGCCAGATACTACAATAAATTCAGTAGTGTGACTCAAAATCATGGATTCTAAGGTGTCCTCCTTTTTCCCCAACTACCAGCTGAAGATGAAGCTTGGGTGACGTGTTAGATTTTTTAAAAATATCTGTAAGAACATATATTGACTAGTCTGTATGAGCTTCCTGTGACTGAAGAAACGTTGAAAAAAGTGACATTTTAGAACCATAGATCACCATTAAAGGGTAGGTGATCTTTTAAAGTCAACTTAAGTTTATAAACAGTATAAAAATAGTTAGTCATCATTTGCAACAGCATGGATGGGCCTAGAGGGTATTATGATAAGTGAAATAAGCCAGGCAAAGAAAGGCAAATGCCATATGATATCACTTATATGTAAAATCTAAAAAAATAATGAACAAACAAAATATAAACAGACTTATAGATACAGAAAATAGACTGATGGATTCCAGAGAGGAGGGGGGTTGGGGGTGAAAATGGTGAAGGAATTAAAAAGTACTAATTGGTTATAAAACAACCATGGGGATGTAGAGTAAAGCATAGGGAATTTACTCAAAAATATTATAATAAGTATGTATGATGCCAGATGGGCACTAGAATTATTGGGAGATCACATTGTAAATTATATAAGTGTCTAACTGCTGTGCTGTACACCTGAAACTAATACAAAATAATGTCGAATGTCAACTGTAATTGGACAATTAAATAAATTAAAAATAAATAAATAAATAGTCATATCAGGGTACTATTGAGTATATTTCTTATTCTGAACTTTATTCTCTAAGTAGTTGTTTCTCTAACTTAAATCCTCAACTAAATTCTATTCACTGCAGAGATGGAAAACAGCTGATGTATATATTCTTTGTAATAACCTTCATAAACTCAAATATAGTCATTGATTTACTCTTTCTATGATTTTCAAGAGATTCTGACTGCTAGGTTTCACACACACACAAAAAGTGAACAACAGGAGTGATGCCAGTAAAATGGTCAAATAAGACATCCCTTGCCTGTATCCTCTCAGCCATGATCCAGAGCCAGTCTTGCCCACCCAGGGTCCCATCCAATGACCAGGCAGGACCCCTTTGAGGGACTTGGTTGTAACCATACCCATCCATACACCAGGTAGTAATAGGCCTGCTGACTAAGAAGTCAACTCTGGGCCCTGAAGTACACACTTGTCCAAGTGATAGTCTACTGAGCAGGTACTAGAAGCAGTCACACTCATCCATTCAAGATCCTTGTCTACCTGAACCTCTTGTAACAAGTCTGCCAACCATGGACCTTACTACAGACCCAGCAACATCCTTAAAACTAGCTCCAACCCAGCATGACTGCAATTCTAGAGGTAATCCCATTGGCTTGGGAAACAGAAGAAGATAACCTGGTGCAATCAGTCTGTAAGGACTGGACAAGGTACTTGTTCCTTCAAATGCACAGACATCCATGCAAAGATACATGGATAAAGAAGAATCAGGAAAATATGACACCATCAAAGGAAAATAATAAAGCTCCAGTAAACAAACCCAAAGAAATGGAGATCTACAGTTTTCCTGAGAAAACATTCAAAATAATCACCTTAAAGAAACCTAATGAAATGTAAGAAAAAAACCCAGATAGACAATTTAACAAAATCAGAAAAAACAATGCATGAATAAAATGAGTAGTTTAATAAGGAAATAGAAACAATTGAAAAGAACTAAGTGGAAATACTAGAGCTGAAGAATATGACAGAACTAAAAAAATTCAATAGATAGCTTCAGAAACAAACATGGTCATGCAGAAGA